GCCACAAATGGCGACGAGGATGAAGAACGCGAGTAGAATTAATAATATTTCACATTATCGTCGAGGTTATCAGCTCCGTCTCAATTTTGTTAAAAGAAAAAAAAGAAGTGGAGACAGGTATCACGATTTCAAATCATTGGTATCCATTTCACTAAGGCATATAAACGTAATATCTGCTTATTGGAAGTATGTGCCATGCATGAGTTGAATTGATTTAAGTCCATTAAATAACATATTATCCGCATATCATGGTGTACTACACCCGTGTCGTATTCTATTAGCTCGAGAAATGATATAAACAAACTGATACCGTCGGCTGCTAAACTAGCCAAAAATACAACTGCTAATGCTTACAAAAATAAATATTCTCGTTGTTATATAGTTGGTATTGCCTGTATTGAAATTGCAAACTTACACTGCAAAATTATGTTGAGCTATCCCTGTACTATGTAGCGGAAACGTCACAATACTTGACATTGTTTTTTAATGAAATTTGAAAATAATCTTTTAAAGTAATAAAAACCTAGACTAAAAATAGTTACGGCATCGATGAAATCTCCCCGTGTCCGGTGAAAAAATGTGCAAGCGCTGACTTTACCATTACCCATTTAACAAACCAATCTTTCCGGGAAGGTTGTTTCCCGGAAGCCACGAAAGTATCCATAGTGAGGCCTCTCTATAAAACGAGCGACAAGACATACCCAACAAATTATCGCCCCATAGCCTTATTACCTACCTTTGCTAAAATTATTGAAACTGCCATGTCAAACCGACTTTGTTCCTTTTTTGAGAAATTTAAAATCCTACATGATAGTCAGCACGGATTCCGAAAGAACCGATCTACCTCGTTGGCAATATATAAATATATACAGAATATACTACATTCAATTAATAATAAAGAATATACAGTCGGCTTATTGCTTGACATGAGCAAGACATGTGATAGGGTAAATCACAAGATTTTGCTACAAAAGCTATACGTAATGGGAATAAGAGGAATAGCTCACCGCTGGTTATTTACATACCTGGAAAATCGTTCGCAATATGTGGAAATAAAAAACACAGATTATAGTACTGGGAAAATTGCTCGTATAAGATCTGAGCGAGCTTCAGTGTTAGACTCTACCACAAGGAAGTGTGTTGGGCTGTATTCTCTTTCTAGTCTATATAAATGACCTTCCACCACATGTGGGTTATTTCTGTGTCTCCTTTGCTGATGATATTTCCGTATAATATTGACTTGTAAAGACACCCACGCGTTATAAAGAGACCAAAACCTCGTATTGGATAATACCACAAAATGGCTGGACATAAATGTGTTGCAATTAAACCTTAAAAAGATTTGTTTTTTAAATTACTCCAATTTAAACCTTACCAAAAAGCACCACTAGACATAAATTACTCTTACAATTTAACAAAAATTTAAACTGTAGACTCGGCCACCATGCTGGGTATAGAGATCGATAAGCACATTACTTGGAAACCACATATTTTAAAACTGTCAAATAGATTATCATCTTTTATGTATGCCATTAGTAAATTAAAACGAGTCACGAATAAAAAAACTACACTTGCAGCTTACTACGCGCACTCTAGACTCTCCTACGGGATCATTCTTTGAGGAAACTGCACAGACGGAAATTTTTGTTCTCCGAAAGAAGTGCATAAAAATATTAGCAAACATAGACCAAATAACATCCCGTAAAAACTGTTTTCGCAAATTTAACATACCAACGATAAGTTGCATATACATATTAGAAGCTTGTAAATTTATTAAAAAGCAATCTGACCTGCATTCGCCGCTAAAAACGATAAAACGCAATAATCGTAATCGTGAACAAATTAAAATTACCTTTTTCAAAAATGGTCCCCACCCAATGTTAATAAAAATATATAACCGTCTCCCGAACAGCATAAAATGTACTCAGGATTCCAAAGCTTTTAAAATACAACGTAAAACTTTTTTGATAAGAGTTATTGCAGTATAACAGAATACTTCAATGATATTTTTGATGACCTTTTTTAAATTGATATTTAATAAGTAATAATACTGTATTATAGATGTATGTAGGTAAAAATCTATATATTTTTTTTTATAACGTCAAGTGACGGGACGAACAAGCGCCTGATGGGAAGCTACACGCCTGTTCATGACAATTACAGTGCCACTCAGAGCTTTAAATTGCAAAAATCTGAGGGGCACTGCCTCTGCGCACGTCACCCTGAGACGTAAGTTGACAAGTCCCATGTGCCTGTAATTTCACTAGAAATCCATTAGTATAGAGCTACGAGTTTAAACATAATTACTTCAATTTAATAATATAGTAATTGTGTGTAATGTGTAAGTTACATAGTCCTACTAGACACTACTATGTAAGTGTGGTATTAATTAATTGTGTGTAATAAAATGTGTACAGCGCCACTCTTTTTGCAAACACCCTTCCAGGGTGTCACAGGTACTGTGATTTTATTATTAACATCTTATTCCCATGTGACTATGCAATAAATGATTTGAATTTGAATTTAAAAAGATATCGGACAGAGGACGAATAGACCCCCTGACTCGTATTTCGCACAATGCATCGCTATCAAATGGGAACGCAGCCAGCATTATTCGCACAACGCCCACAGACCAAGGTCTCTACGACCGCTGATTTTCGTCCTCAAATCTTTTAAATTATAATTTTATACAGCCTTTGATTACAGTCCAATCAAAAATACTTCCAAACTTCCTAAAGATTACCCAATTATTCATAAATTTTGAACAACCTAAGCTTTACAGGACTATCGGCCATACCACAATATGGTGTTGGTAGTCTAATTACCGTAGTAATTTTTTTTTCTCGCTTATTATACCCAATAACATTGAAATATGAACAACTTTAATCTAAGTTATTAAAATGTCTAAATGGCATTTGAATGGACAAATTAGTTTTCGAGTTATTGATACACAAATATTTTATCCCAACGGTAATTAGAAATTGTTATTTTACATGGCTGCAGTAATTATAAAATTCTAACATTTTTAAGAACTAAATTAAAAATAACAACTAATAACACATATATTTATATAGATTTTAAGACTTTCGTGGTTATTCGCTAAATGATTATCACTAGTATCAGGTTTCTTACCACGGTATGACTTAATATCGGGAAATATCGGGAAAATAAAAAGAAGTCATACCGTGGTAAGAAACCTGATACTAGTGATAAACATATATTTATGTTTCATTTCGAATTTCTACTTTTTCTGTAATTAATTACACCGAAATAAAATACTTTCTTGTTACTATTTTTTCCAATTTAAGTATTTTTGTCATTATTATAATTAAAAAACCTACTCTAAATTCACTAAAAAAACCTTGAATGGCACTTGTAACGGCAGAAATACTCACATATGTAGCATAAAATCTTCGTCTTCTTCTATTTCTCAGCATATTGTTGATTCCACTGTTGAATATTTGCCTCTTAGCATGATTTCCACTGTCCTCGGTTTTCGGCGAGTTTGTTCCAGGTAAGCCCTGCCGTCTTTTAAATTTAATGTGGTTGTGAATGTAAACCATTTTTACACCCTCTGCAGCGGCTTAATACATAAAACTAATTGGTTATTTATCTCAGCTCATTAATAAATAATATAAAGAACATTATACGTAAATTTTAGTACCACATCGTAGATACTGGTGTGAGATTAAAGGTCTGTTCTGTAGCACAAGCAAAATGGCGTAGAAACCACAGAGTCGCTGATATTATACTACAGTACGCAATGTTAAAAACGAACTAACGTTAAATAGTGGGCATAACATAATGACATGGACATTCCCGTATATTTCTTCATAAGTTTTATTTATTGTGACCCTCCCTAGCGACCCCTTAAGTACAAAAAAAAAAACAGAAAGACACTATAACCTGTCCAAGTACAAGGAACTTATAAGTTCAGGTCCTGAGCCCAGATCACCCAGTGGACAATGTCGTCACAGGCCGTTATTACGGACTACATCCGGTTCTCAAGAGGTTAGTGTCTCTTATTCCAAATGCGCACTTATTCTATCATAAACAAAAATAATTGAATACACATATTAATACTATACCCAGACCAAACTCCACATCCAACTACATATCATGACTTCTTTATATCTTATAAGCCCTTTTCTATACGTTTTCATTTAGCATATAATTAAAGATTAAGGCCGAAATACACAAACCCGGAGCTGGCACATTTGCTTGTTCGCAGCAGAGATACTTGTATATGACGTGTACACGTAAAGGTATTCCAGCTAGCAGGTGTGTCAGGTAAATATATATTGTGGCCTGAAGAGCCTATGCACATGGCGTATTACACGCGCTGTAGAAGCTCAAAAAGCAGAATGTTGCGTTTATATTTAGTCAAACGTGCGTAAAACGCGATACAAACGCGCGCGAGAAGCGCGTTCGATGTTCGCATCTACGGCGCGTATACGCGCAAATGACGCGCGTTTACGGCACTACGAATTTGTACGTGGTACTTTGTACAAAGGTCATCTGCGACTACATCGCGTTTGAATTGCATTTACGCGCGTCGTCGGCGCGCATAAAACCCGTCGTGTGCACAGGCTCTAATACAGAATGACTTACTAAAATATTATTACTAGTGTTTTTAATATCATAGCAAAAGTAAAACTATGGAAAGTAAACAAAAACTTTACACACTCGAAAAAAAAACGACAACCAAGAAGGACACAGAAAAGAAAGGACATCCACAGCGAGATCATATGAAGAAAATATGTAATGCATTGTTCTACCTGGGCGGTGGCAATTTTTGGTACGAAGACCGCAATTTGACCAAACTTCAACAGACACTATATAACATCTACGCTGTGACATTCAACCTTTACATATTTGGTAATTTTTTCAACGAACTGTTATCAATTTTTTTGCGTGACGTATCTGATAGGGAAAAAAATGATGCAATGCAATTCATAATTGCTCATATACACGTGCTTGCAAAGTTCATCACGTGCTACATGTCGAGAGAACGAATTAAGATATTCCTCAAGAAAATTGTGGAAGGTGGCAGGGAGTTCGCTGTTTGGGAGATAGATTTGAAATCAGTGAAGGTTGCAAGGCGGTATTGCATAATGTTAATAGTAACGTTGACCATAGGTCTGGTGTCGACCACTATAGAGGGAATCGTGGTTTATATAAAAGAAGGTAAGTTCGATTTCTGTTTTATAAAAATGGTCAAAAGTGTTATTTTTATTAAATCATTATCACCAAGCCTCAATCAATGGCGGGCACGAATCCCTTCCCCTGCGAGGGTTTAGTCCGCCACGCTGACCCAATGCGGGTTGGGGACTTTTTCGAGAGTTGGGAACCTTCTCCGACGTGCAGGTTTCATAACGATGTGCGAGCACGGATTCGAACCCACGGACTTTGCTTGAGACTCTGTTACACGAAGCGAAAGATTTCGCGCGGTCCGCCCAGTTACTAGTATTTACTAGGCAACAACATTTAAATTCCTCAGAATATTACATCCGCCGCCGGGAGCCGCACGGAAGCGGATGAATTTATATTTGTTATTTTATTATAAGAATGGAATGCTAAAACTAAAATTACGCAGACTTACAAAAACAGTCTTTTATCTTTATCACAGATAATAATAATCACAGTCTAACCAATTTCTTTTCACTGTGATATAATACACAATGTCATATAAAAAAATGTCGCACTCGTACCTCCATTTATTCGGATGCTTATTTATAGACAGTACCAAATAATATTCGAAATGGCCAACAGATGGCAGCTATTACATTTTTGTCAAGGTTATTATAGCTCTTGTTCAGGCGCTGATTACGCATAATAACAAATTAAAAAATCGCAAGGGAATGTCTTTTTTTATTTATATATTTTAAAGTGAAAGTCAGAGGTAAACCGTTAATGAGTTTCGAGAACAAACGAAGAAATGCCATCCATACAATTTATTGCAAACTAACAAATAAAAAGGTATACCATTTCAACTGTTCAACGACAGTTTATTGTAAACGAATTTTAATTCAACATTCCTAATCATCAACATCATCATCATTCAGCCGTACGACGTCCACTGCTGGGCATAGGCCTCCCCCAACGATCTCCACGACGATCGGTCCTGCGTTGCCCGCATCAATCGGCTTCCTTTACCAGATCGTCGGTCCACCTGGTGGGGGGCCTACCCACTGACCGACGTCCAGTGCCGGTCGGCATTGAAGAACCTTTCCGCCCCAACGGCCATCGGTTGGGAGTGACCTTGTACCTTCTTATAGTAAGGGACCACGTATCTGATCTATGGATCACATATGTGTGATCACTGACAACACACACTGGTCAAAGACTTTCGTCTTGAACCACTAAGGTAATTAGGACGCAAAGATTTTTTGTAGTTTCCTGAACGCTGTCCATCCGAGCTGGATTCGACGAGAGATCTCTTTCCCAAAGTTGGACTTACCTAACTGGACTGTCTACCCCAAGTATACGTAATGGTCAACAGCTTCGAGCGTAATGCTCCCAATTTTAACTGGAGCGGGTACAACATGGATATTCGACATGATCTTCGTCTTGTCCATGTTCATCTTAAGACCCACTCTTTGGGAAACACTGCTGAGATTTTCGAGCATTATATTTATTTCTCCCAAGGTCTCAGCCATAAGAACTAGATCATTGGCAAATCGAAGATGTGTTAAATACTCGCCATTGATGTTGATGCCAAGTCCTTTCCAGTCCAGAAGCTTAAAAATATCCTCCAACGCAGCAATGAACAGTTTGATAGATATCACATCTTCCTGTCTCACGCCTCGTTGCAGTTGGATGTGGCGTTTTTGTATAAGTGTCTCGATATACCTATAGTCTACTTGGCAGCTTTGTAGAGACTGCAGCACCGCCCAGGTCTCGATCGAATCAAAGGCCTTCTCATAGTCCACAAACGCTAAGCAAAGTGGCCGGTTATACTCCTCGGTCTTCTGTATGACCTGCAGCAGCGTATACATGTGGTCTATGGCACTAAAACCCTTTCAGAAACCGGCTTATTTGGGGGGTTAAAACATTCCTAAAATGTTATTTAAATATTTTAACATGACATATCTCAATTTTTCGCGATTCAATTGTATTTTTTATTTTATCCAAGTGTAGCCATCTACAGATTGAAATATGTACTAAAGTTAATTTGTATGAATACCCCATTTATTATACATCTTTAAAGCGCCACAACGCGATTATGGTTACGGACACTTCTTATTTCATTGTCATGCACTATCAGATGTTTAGTGAAACGGCATGTATCTAGGCTTAATATTTCAGGTATCCCCATTCGCACAGAAGTAGTGCTATATCCTTCTCCACAAGACACAGGGATTGTCATTAATATCTTGAGAACATTGGTCGAAATTCACTGGTGGCTACTGATACAATTGATGACAGCTGTGGACTGCTTGGTTGCTACCTCGCTAGTCTTCGTGGGATATAAATTCAGGTTTGAACAGATTCAAATGTATTTTTCCTCCTATTTAAGAGCCAGGCTGTTATCGGTGTAGCCTCATCCACTCCTCACGGCTCGTAGACATTTTTCGTAGCAGTAGAGTTCCTTGTTAAAGGTTCGTCCAGGGAAGTGCTGCCACCTTGTCTATATCTACCGCCAAGCAGTAATGTGAGCATTACTGCGTTTCGGTCAAGGTAAGTGTGCTGATGAAATTACATGAGATTTGTCAACTTATGTCACTCAGATCTTTAAATCGCGAAGATATGATAGGCACTACCACTGCGCCCGTCACCATAAACATAAATAGACAAATTCTATGTGCTCATATGTCCGCCTGCATACCTTTCAAAGCCCGAGTACGGAGTATTCACATTACAACTTGGCGGCAGAAGTTGGTAATTTTTTATTTATCTTTTTATTATGACACAAACTTATCCTAAACCTGCCCCAAGCATCGTTAAAGATAAAATTATCATGTGGGGACACACTCATGAAAAAGGTATACATAAACAGAAAAAATGCCTCAGGACAATCTTAAACCTACGACGTGGTAGCCGAAATAGCGACATTTGTTAGAAAAAATATAAACTTCATTGAACATGTCAGAAGTGAACGTAGACAGTATAAGCTGGTACCTCCATCGCCTAAACTTAAAATTTTTAAAAATAGCCCTTATTACAGACCAATAGCCTTATATAACATGGTCCTAAACAATGTATTATTTCAGAAAATGTTTTGTAACAAATTGAAAAACCTTCTCATACAAAAGTGTTATTTATTACGCAATACAAGATCTTATTAAAGACAAGGATCCCTGGATCACTCAATATTGAACTCTACAATTATAATAATTAGTATATTATAGATTCATTATTTAATTGATACTGCGTTACTTTTTTCAGATATTGTATTATTTATAAGAATTTAATACTTTTGTTATTTAATTTATTTTTTATTATTAATTTTTAAGTTTAATAATTTGCTTGTCTAAGTAAATTTTTAAGTATTAGCCACGCCCATGCAGGGCACATGTAATGTAATTTTAATGAATAAATACTGAATAAAATAAAATTAAATTAAATGGGCTTTATTAGATAATCTTTATATTGACCATATTGCAGGACCCTCGAAGCGTACTTCGGCAGTCTCAGGCAGAAGTATTTGCAGCGCTCGGGCGAAAACTTGGATGTTTTAGAGAGAGATTTCCGCAAAGACTTCATCACAGGCATCAAATTTCATAAAGAAATATTATGGTAACCTATAATTGTTTTCTAACTGCAGTAGTCAAACGATGGCCCACCTCACATCGTACCCAGTGTGCCCTAACACCTGCACGCTTGAGGATTTAACGGCGGCTACTTGTAACACAATACAAAGAAACGTTACAATTACAGTAAATATACATTATTACGTAAGCTTAGAGTAATGTATTGTGGGAGACTGGAGCCCAAACTAAGCAGAGCTTGTAATAGCCATGTTAGTAGTCATGTAGTCATAATAGTCATGTTAGTAGTAATGACGAAATACAAAGTACTGAGGAGGAAGTAAAAAATAAGTAAAACAAATTATGTGTGTGAGCGCGTGAGTGAGTGAGTGAGTGAGTGTGTCTGAGTGCGTGAGTGAGTGTGTGTGTGTGTGCGTGTGTGTTTGTGAGTGTGGAAGTGTGAGGTTATTTGACGACTTTTAGTAGATTTTCAGTCTCATCATAGTTAAGGAGCAGGAGATATCTGGTCAATTTTAGTTTGCATTCGTATTTAGAGAGTTCACAAAAAGGGGATATATTATTTAATTTATTATACAAGAAAGGGCCAGTGTATGCCATCAATACGATAAGAAGAGGAAGTAGTCATATGCACTGGGCTACACAGCTGTGGGTCACTCTGTGGGCGGGACCTTGGCATGGTAACCGTTCAGCCACGGAGGCAGTGAAATGCCATTCATTATAGCATTTAACTGGCTTTTTAAAAGTATTTAAAAAGTAACAATCTATGTGTGCCCAGTCCATAGAGGCCTGTTGTTGTAGTTGCTTTTCAACAGAGAGTTAAGTTTGACGCTGTGACGATTTATACCCGTGTTTTGATTAGAAATCAAAAGAGGAAACATCATGTTGAAATCATCAATCATCATGCATGTCCAAGAAACTACACAACTGTTGAAAAACGTATTAAGTCCTCAGCCTGCATAGGTCTAGCGTGACCATGACCTAAAACTGTCTCCATCGTCATAATTAGCTGACGATGATTGTGGGTTTTTTTTAATGTAATTTGTTGTAATCTACTTTTACCAGGAGCCAACGTAACCTCCAATACGCTTTAGGGACCACGTACAGCATTCAAATCACTGAAGGTCTCCTATTGCTGTCGCTAGCAATGGTCAAAATGGTGGTAAGTGGCCTCTACCATTTGTATGGTTAGTTCTTGTTGTGACTGATACTGAAAAGAACCGACCTCAAAAATTAGATTATCCGCTTTCGCTGAAAGTGGGATCGATAAACCAGATTCGTCCCCAAATTTGCTATCCTTGAAGGTAGAACATTTTCTACTTCATTTTCATTGCTCAGGAGAATTGTTTTTGTTTGAGACTACATTTATATATTATGCAATCTTCATAAAAGCTATTCAATTAAATCTTAAAAGTCTAATAGTGTAGTTGCGATGCCTAGAATTATGAAATACGTACCTGTATATTTAGGTATCTAGTTAGTGCATATTAACTAAACATGGCAGTTTTCCCTTATCCCTCACCTGACTTAAATCCATCCATTTTCGTTATTTTTATTTCTACTTCATTGCAAAATAAAATCGAAAAAAAATATTTTATTTTAATTTTTATTACATATATTTTTTTGTTTGCTGTCAGTACAAAATTGTATGTTTGACATTTTTTCATACCCAATGCCATGCTCACTCAGAATGACTATGGATTGTGATAATGCTACACGATTCGAAATTGGTGGAAACATTCAGAAGTTATACAGGAATCAATAAACGATATTTTCTTACATATATTCACCATGAAAATATTACGCTCCTTTGTTTGATCAGTCGTGTAAAAAAAACAGGTAATGGTTATATACATATATATTGTCTTGGCTATCGATTTCGATAATACAATATTTGCTTGCCCAACTCTAATGTATATTTCGAATTCTAACACACTACCTAAATAGAAACTATAACATAGAGTCGGTACCAAAAATAAAAACTACTGCGGCTAGTAGACAGTACAAATACGGGGTCTCATATCTATATAATAATTTAAACAGAGAACTGGATCTACAAGAAAATAGTTCGTGAATGCAAGTTAGCAATTACAAAATGACTCGAAACTAAGTCATATGAGGAGATTGAGCAATTATTATTACAAGTTTGAAATATATAAATAAATAAGTAAGTAGACATAAAATTTATACTATATCAGTATGTACATAATATATATAATGTAAATAAATAATATAAATATACACAAATCGAAATTTAATTTACATTTATGTTTATATAAACTTATAATACTATTATTTTAGTAACTTCTTATATATGAGACAAGCAATGGAAATGATACTATTTAACTTGGTATGACAATGTATAATTTTGGACATTGTACGTCTATCGAATGGATGACACACATATACACATTCACACATTCCATACAATTACACACCTTCAGATACACATACTTGCACTCACAGACACTGACAATTAGGATAATCAATTTTTAGTCTGAAAAGTTAAAATTTACTGTAATTAGTTATTGTATCAGTTGTAACACCAGTTACAGTAGATATTAAGGTAGTCTGTTTCATCATCTTAAAATTATATAAGAGCAAGATTACTATTAATAGCATAGAAGAGCGATATTTCCTAACACGGCCTGTGCCCTAACAAGCCTAAATGGAAACATCCGCCCCTGTACTATGCCCTTTAAAATGAACAAATAAAACATTTTATTTTATCGAGTTCTTAGGTTTTCGCGATTGTTACACATAGGAAATGAAACTATTTTTCCGGATTTAAATCGCGTATATTTGTTTTTTCAACCGTGACCATGGGACCTGTAAAGGGCCCGAAACGTCGGTTTGTTTGAAAAAACAAATATACGCGATTTAAATCCGGAAAAATAGTTTCATTTCCTACATTTTATTTTATTTTATTTATTTTATTTCGGGCTGGCCAATCAGAGCGCAGTTGTCACCAGTTGTCATTTGACAGAAAAGTTTTCTAACAAAATAAACGACATTTCGTATCTATGTCTGGTTATATACTCGATGGTTGTAACTGACGCCGAAAAGAACCAACCTCAAAAGTTTATTGTGGCTGAAGCCGAAAAGAACCAACCTCAAAAGTTTGTTGTGACTGACGCCAAAAAGAACCGACGTCAAAAGTTTGTCGTGACTGACGCTAAAAAGAACCGACCTCAAAAGTTTGTTGTAACTGACCCCGAAAAGAACCGACCTTAAAAGTTTGCTGTGACTGACGCCGAAAAGAACCAACCTCAAAAGGTTGTTGTGACTGACGCCAAAAAGAACCGACCTCAAAAGTTTGTTGTGACTGACACCGAAAAAAGCGACCTCAAAAGTTTGTTGTGACTAATGCCAAAAAGAATCGACCTCAAAAGTTTGTTGTGACTGACGCCAAAAAGAACTGTCTCAAATGTTTGTTGTGATTGACGCCGAAAAAACCTCAAAACTTTTATCCGCTTTCGCTATATTCGTTATCGCGATTTCCTTAAGAGGGAGCAGAGGAAAAATTCCTAATCTTCGATTTGATTTTAGAGGGGTATATCCGTTTTAAAGTTAAAAATAAAATATTGTATGAGTAACTACCCGATATATTCAAGCATAGACATTAATCAGAAACATAAAACAATAAAGTTTCCTCGATAGATAAAAATCACGAAATGACCTAATATTCAAATTTTTTCGATTTATCCTCGAAATGCTACAGGTTATTAGGACAAAAATTAGATAATTAATTATATTTATGCATGATCGACAAAAAAACAAACAACAAAACACACAAACAAAAAAATATGTAGTAAAATTGAGTATAAACTGACTGACAAAAAACACACGCTTACCTCGAAATTGTCTCTCGACCTGTCCATATGATTAGTTTTGACAAGGACTTCATATGCATTTCAGTTATTGTTGAAGAGACCGCGATAAGGAACATCGAGAAGAGGAAAGTTATTTTTAACATTGCCTATAGTCTGTAGCAAAAAGGCGTAGTAATTTGTCCTGTTTAAAATTAGTTATTCTTTTTAACACAGACAATGGAACAAAATTCAGCCACTCTCTTCCAATTCTTGAGCTACATGGCGTGTGTGACCTTGTTAACGGGAGCCTACATGCTGTCGGGTGGAGATATCATCATCGAGGTGAGGTCTAAAACTTTATTTAGATTTCTCTCAAACTTAAAAAAGTAGTAAACTGATTTTACTTTACAGTGGAACTATGAAATACGCACAGACTCAGTGGGTACTAAGGACGCGCGCCGCGCCTCTCCCGCCGTAGATTTTTCCATACAAAATTTTGTATTAAGTTATGTGAGTCGGCGGTCGTCTTTATTTCAATAACGTAGAACGTTGATTGAGAAAAGTATGCGGTTTGATTAAGTTTACTATTTGAAATATTACAAGTTAAGCCGTAACTCAAACGATTCGGGGCTTGTGTTCGGATTACTAGTTGAATGCGAACTGCCACGTTGCCGCCGCACAGTGTTTCGAAATGCCTTCAGATCGGACATTTTGAGTGAAGCTTAGCAAGGAATACGTGTTAATATTCTAAACGCAGGACGAAAACTCCCGTGTGCCAATTTTGTATAGTTTTGGAGAAAACTTAGCTCAAAGTTCTTCGATTTTTATACTTAGAAATTACAATAATGATTATATCTTAAAAATTAAAAATACCACTAAATATTTAAAACACGATTTTAACAGGAATTCCAAGCAATATTCAAGTAACTTTGGCGCTTTCCCAAAATACATAAGTTACGAAAATCGAGAAATTCTTTACAACGGTTACATTTTGTTTCAAATGTTACACAATAGTCAACTTCTCAGCTACATTATTAAAATTTTACTATAGCACGTTAACTTTACTTAGCACTTTGTCTCAAAGCAGGTAGATTTTAATCAAAAGTCAAGTATAGCGTGACCACAGGGGTGAGCGATTAGCCTGTACTCCACCGTTGAGGTACTGCGAAATGGACGTGTTAATGTGGCTCTTGGTACTTGCTTTTTAAATGCTTGTTGATTGATGGCCTCAGTGGTCGGACAGTTAGCATGCTGAAGTGCCACGCAGAGGTCCCGGGTTCGATTCCTGGGCCGAGAGAAATATCTGTATGGCGTTACATTTCTTTCTCTCCTGAGTTTCGGTGTAATTTGTGGTTGTGGTGTGTGTACATGGTATCCGCGATACAGGGTTTCCGCAGTAAGAGGCCATGAGTGTGTGCGTTAAAAATTAAAAAAATTAAAATACTTTCACAACCGTGTTTTTATTTTCTAGCGAGGATTTATTGAAGAATTGACAGATTAAAATTATTGGAAATATAACTTTTTTTTTTTTTTTTTTAAATTTATTTATTGTATAAAGAACAAAATACACAAATATGTTTGTAATCGCATTTTAAACCACTAAGGTTTGTCATAACTATTTTTCGGGTGTAAATCGCATAAACAAACCAACGTTTCGAGCCCTTTAGAGGTCCCATGGACACAACCAGTTATGTCTAAGGCCGATTACACATGACGCCGCGGCGGCGGCGTTTTTTGCTGCTGCAGCGCCGCAAGGCTTACGGCGTCATGCCGCAGCACCAGCAGTGAAAATCCAGCCCATACGACGTCATCTACTAAAATCGTACTGATGTACATTAGTATCAAGTAACGCCGTCGCCGTGACGCGTAGTGCGTGTATGAAAGTGTGTATATAAATGCAAGGTCGACTACACTGCAGCGCTGCAGTTTCGGCGCGGTGCTGCTGATGTTACGGCGCCGTGTGTAATTAGCCTAATATTAATGCAAACCACCCTGTTTTCCCCTGTAGTTACAATTCGATGGTTTTCTAGAATAGCGGCCTATCTCAAAATCGCATAATCCATCAACAAGATTGTTTAAAAACATCTGCATTCTGCAGATGTTTTAAAATCTTAGAGAGGTTACACACGCGCGACTTAGAGCAGCGAACGCTATGCAAACGCGCTACTGCATCGGAAAAAACGCGCGATTGCACCGCTACACTTTTGGTTTATAAGCGATTGCATCGATGCAACCGCGCGTTTGCTCCGATGCAATCGCCTGTAAATCGCAATTGTAGCGATGCAATCGCGCATTTCAAGAACGCGTGTTTACATCGCTACTAAGTCACCGTGTGTGACCACTCTAAAATACTCGTGTACAGGGCCATGTTATGACGTGATTATTTTAAGCAACAAAAGATCGGACTTTTTTACACTAAAATTTGCCCATTCTTAGTGAAGCTAAGAATACCTAAAACCTAATAAGACAAAAAATGCACAATTTTGGTTAAGGCCATATTTTTGGAAAGCAACAAATTATTATTCATTTTAAATACCTTATTTTTGATTTACCAAAAAAAACTTTCTGAAAAATATTTTGTTTTAACAGTATTCATTATATTAAATTAAATTTATTAATTATAAGGCAATTAGAAATAAAAAACATATTAATAAGTCAACTCATCCGAAGAACAAAGTGTGACGTACCTTATACAGCGAAAAGAGGTTAAAACATAATTTGTTTTTGTGTTTTCAGATTTTTTTATTTATTTATTATTTCGTTTCGGAAATACAAAATTAAACTGCAGTCAATTAAGACTATGGACATCCGCAGTCAAGACCAACAAACGAAATGTACAATGTCCCGAGAATAAGCAGCATCTTGCACATAGGTCTTTGTTCTACGGATTAGTCGAAGTATCCGTTAAAACAGTTTCATTTCCATTGTGTAACAATTTAGAAAATCTAGAACTCGGTACAGACTAAAACTACGTAAGTTCTATCATGATGTTACATTTAACCTAGATTAATTACTATTATCGTATTGTCCACCATCAGGCAGAGAAAATTCCCAATGCGATATTCAACTCAGGCTGGGAGTTGACCCGTTCAAGCCAGCGCCTGCGCTCATTAGTTGTGATCTCCATTATCCAGAGTCAAGTTCCCGTCTTCATGACTGCTTTTGGAATTATTATGCTGT